ATTCCTAACAACTATTCAATTATTTTCATAAAATTCATAGCCGGATTTCAATTATTTTTAATATAATTTTACAGGAATTACTCAAGAAGTGTATTCTTTAAAACTTAATTTAAAAGTTATTATTTATGAAAATAATTAAATTTTTGTGAAGAATTAAATATTACATTTTTTGAAAATATAAACAATAATAATTAATTATGTACTTAATAAGTAAACTTTTTAAATTTTTATTAGGAAATTATTCAAAAATTTATATTTGAAAATAAAAACATTGGAACTTGCATGACAATAATAAATAAATTATTAATAAAATAAATTTTATTTTTGCTTGAAAATTATTTTTTCACTATTCGAAATTCGAATCTTGATTGTGTATTCGTGAAATCTTCGGATTAATTAATGAGTGGAAAATTTAATAAAAAGAAAGGAAAAAAATTACTTAGTAAAGATGTTATTATTAAATAAATAATTAATAAATTCCCTGAAATTCAATTATTCTTTTAAATAACAATATTTATTCACAAAAATTCAATTATTTTCAAAATTAATAAAATTCTTCGAAGAAATTCAAATTTTCAAAAATTTCAACAAAAAAAATCTCTTCAAAATTTTAATTATTTTTATAAATAGCAAAATTCTTCGCCGAAATTCAACTATTTTGAAAAATTTTAATAAAATAAAATTCAATATGTAATCTACTATTCAAATAAAATTTCCCAAAACAATTCAATTATTTAAAAAAAGTTTTAATAAAATTCTATACAAAAAAATTTTATCAATAAATAAACAATTAATTATTGAGCAAAGAAGTTTATAAGCTAGTAAAAATTATCAAGTAAAAAATTAATCAGTAAATATTAATTAGTATAATTAAATTTTTTCATTTAGAAAGTAAAATTTATTCTTCCTTGAAAATAATTGTTTCACGATTCGAATCTTGGTCGTGTAGTTTTTTTTAAATATTTGAATTAATTATATAGTGAGAGAAAAGATTATTAATTAATTCAAATTTATCACTGCACCCAGAGAAAAATTTCATTTAAACCAAATAAAATTTATTTGAAACAAATAATATAAATCTTTTTGTTAAAATAATTTTTTTTTTTATTCTATTTTTAGTTGTGTATTAATAAAATATTTCAATTAATTAGTGAGTGGAAAATGTATTATCAAGTGAAAAACTAATTAGTAATTAAAAAATATGTAATATAAGACAATTATTAATAAATAAAAAATTTTTATGTAAAAAACTTTTATTCATTGTTAAAGAATTAATTTGTATTTAAAAAAATAGCTAGTAAAAAATTTATTAATGAATAGAAAAAGTGAACAAATAAAAATTAGTTAATATTAAAAAATTAACAAGTAAAAAATTGAAAAGTAAAAAATTAAGAAGTAAAAAATTAGAATTTAAAAAAAAGATTATTAGTAAAAAATTAATTAGTATAAGTAAAAAAGTAGCAATTAACAAATTATTTAGTGAGTATAAAAAATTAGTCAGTCAAAAAATTTATCAGTAACTGAAAAAAAATTAACAAGTGAATAATCGGTTAGTAAAAAATTAATTACTTAATAATCGCAATATTTTAACGAAAAAAAAAAATACAAAAAAATGTTTGATTCAAAGAAATTATTTTCTCAGTGCAGCAAGGAGAATTTTACGAAAAATTTGTAAATGATCTTTGTGGTTAAAAATTAATTATACATATAATGATGGTAAAATAACATGTTTGACGAAAGGGTTAGAGAGAAGGAAATTAATTCCTAATATTTGGGTCAATTATAAGCTATAATAATGATTAAATATCTTCGTTTGGTTGATCAATTGCGGGATATATTATTATTTTATATACCTGTAAGTTTCGTGTGAAAATTTCCGATGCGGGAAACTTTTAGATTTCACTGTATATGGAATATTCTTTTGTATAAATAATTCAGTATCATTACTGAATACAATCGATTCTCATACGGATATATTGTATAATATATTTAATGTTAGTATAGGTACGTGTATATTGTGTTTCCATGCGGTATTTTTGGGCAATTATTTAAAGAACTGATTTCTTGATTAATATTTTTTGTACAGGAATTTTTTTTATGTAAAACATTCTGTACAATTTTCAGAAATTATGTTTAAACATTTTTTTTTAATTCTCCTGAAAATTTCAATTATTTTTATAAATAATTAAATTCTCCTGAAAATTTCAATTATTTTTATAAATAATTAAATTGTTCTCCACAATTCAATTATTTTCGAAAATTTTAATAAAATTCATGACAAATATTTAATTATTTTCATAAATATGTAATAACATTTTTTAGAAGGATTTAATTACTTTGATAAATAATAAAAATGCTTTGCAAAAATTCAATTACTATCAATATACTTTACTAAAATTGAATTAATCAAATTTTCAATTATAGTCATGAACAGACAAGATTGTTTTAAAAATTTAACAAAATTGTTTTAAAAAATTAACAAAATTCTTTGTTTAATTCAATTATTTTCCAAATTTTTAATTAAAATTATTAAAAAAGCATTATTTTCAAAAAATTTAAAGAAAGTTGTTAAAAAAATTTAATTATTGATAAAAACTCAAATACAAAATTTAGAAGATTTATTTATGTTCGACATCAAAATAAATTTAAATTTGATAAGAAAAAAAAATCGGGAAAAATTAGGACAAAGCCGAGAATTTTGTTGAACGAAAATAATAGACTCCCTGAATAAATTTTTTTTTAGAGAAAATTCACTATTTTTTTTTTAAGAAAATTAAATATTTTTTTTATCGTCTCAGTAGAAATATTTGATGAACGTCCATTGCTCTCTGAAAATGGTTTTTTAAAAAGTTAATCTCACTTGCGATTGGTCCTTCCAGGGGCGTGGTTTACACTGTCAGAAGGGTGTATCTAACAAAAAATGTCGCCAGATATTACGATAAAGATTTTATATCGCGCAGCGTTCTTTTTATTTCTTTTAATATTTTTTCCTTCCCTTTTTTTTTTGTTATTTCAAAACTGTGTCAAGAGGCGTGTTCTTGCAATTAAATTCACATAATACATTTTGTGTACACATACACATCATGAAGGTATGGATGTTAAAGTCTAAAGAAAAGAGTTGAAAGAAAAAGTTCATTAGAGGTAAATTTCATTTCTCTTATAATTTAATTTGGCAAATGGAAAAGAGAATTTTCTTAGTGTTCCAAGAAAGGAGGGAAATTTAATTTTAAAATTCATTTTCCTGAGTTTTATTTAGAGGAAAAAGAATTGGAAAAAAGAAAATTATTTCGTTCCAGGCATTGTGTTTCATTCATTATATTATACGAGCTCCGCGACCTCATCTCTGTGACTTGTACGCAATCTCGAAATTCACCCCCTGTAGCAACCAATCAAATTGCAGCATCCGCGCATGCGAATCTGTCCCTCTCTCTCTCTCTCTGGGGTATCCATTATTATTTTATGTATACTCGATTCTTCAGTAGGGGAATAAAACACCCTTTAGTGGAACTTTTTTACTCTCTTGATTTATTCTTTTCTTTTTCTCTTTGTTTAATTGGTGATTAATCATTTTTGGCAATTAGTGGAAATTATTATTTCAGTCAGATTCGATGGACTGTCTTAATTATTTTCTTTTTACTCCGCCCAGAGAAATGTTTTATTTAAACCAAATATATATAATATGTTTGTCATGAATAAATGTATATTTGGATTTTTATTTTTACTTTCCTCTTAGTTTATTGTTTTATATTTGTGTCGTATACAAATTTTATTTAGAACAAACAAATTTTATTGGGGATGAAATAAAATTTATACTTGAACTAAATAAATTTTTTCCGAAAAAATAATAAATTTTAATAATAAAAAAAATTTTTATTTGAAGCAAATAAATTTTTTTAGAGGGGAGAAATATAATTTTTATTTTAAAGCAAATAAACTTTTTATGAAGAAGTATAATTTTTATTCAAGTTCAATAACTACTAAACTTTTAATTTGTTTCAAATAAAAATTTTATTTAACATAAATACTTATTTTTCGGGGAGTAAATAAAATTTTTTAATTGGACCAAATAAATTTTTTTTGTGACGAAATATATTTTTTATATTTGAATCATTTTTATATTTGAACAAAACTAATAACCATTTTATTTGTTTCAAGTAAAAATTTTATTTAACACAAATAAATTTTATGGGGGCGAAATAAAATTGTTATAATTGAACTAAATAAATTTTGTTTGAGGGCAAAGATAATGTTTATTTGAACCAAATAACTACTAATTGTTTATATATATTTCAAGCAAAAATTTTATTTATCAAAAATAAATTTTATTGGGAAGAAATAACATTTTTATTTTGAACCAAATAAAAATTTTATTTCAACCAAATAAAAACGAACCTTTTTATTTGCTTCAAGCAAAAATTTTATTTAACACAAATGAATTTTATTTAGGGGGAAAATAAAATTTTTATTAGAATCAAATAAATTTTTTTTGGGGGTGAAATAAATTTTTATTTGAATCAAACAAATTTTTATGAGGGAGAAATATAATTTTTATTTGGCACAAATAAATTGTTTTGAGGGAAAAATTGTCGTTTTTGTTTGAACCAAATAAAATTTATTTCTAACAAATGAAATTTATTTCTAAAAAATGAAATTTATTTCTTGCAAATGAAATTTATTTCTAATAAGTAGAATTCATTCCTAATTTTGTTTTTTTTCATTCCTAATTTTTTTTATTCCTAAAATTTGTTTCTAATAAATTAATTTCAATTTGTCTGCGAGATGAATATAGATTTATTCAACAAAAATATATATTATATATTCGTTGCAACTTGCAATTGAAAAATTTCTTCTGAATGTATTGATTAAAATTTTTTTAATCTAAATAGAAGGGTTCAATTTTTTTAATTATTTCAAGAAAAATCGTTTTGACAATAATATATTGAAACTCGATGTTTGAAAATAGTTTTCATGGAATAATGTTATTCTTTTTTTCTTTCCAGGCTCTGAATGGGTTTCTATTAATACTGACCTGCGACGGAGAAGTGTTCTTTGCAACCCACAGCATAGAGAGTTATCTTGGCTTCCATCAGGTAACGCGAAAATTAATTTAATAACATTAGTTAACACACGTATGTAGTCTAGAAAAAGAAATTAACTTCACTTATTTTATGCTTTCTTTAAAAAGCAAAGTTATTACTTTATATTTTTTTATATTATACCAATTTTCATTTAGAAAAAAATTATCTGATTCGAGTATAAATATTTATTTGACAATAAAAATTATGTCGAATAAAATTTTTATTGATAACAAAAAGGGGAGAAAAAATATTGAAATTTATTTATTTTATGGACAAACATAGAGTGAATTCTAAAAGAATTCTGTATAGGGCATTTCCTTGTGAGTATCCAGAGCAGTTTAACATCATAACTCGTTCAATGTTAATACTCGATCTCTCTTTGTTATCACGTCCAACAACCCAACGGCATGAAACGGTCACGCGACGTGTTTGTTGAGTTTTGCCGTGACGTGTCTGTTACGTTTACACGCGCATCATTCACTGCCATGGTCGTCCATTTTCCATCCCTTGAATCTTTTTTTTCTCCAATATTAGACAAACACTGAAAATTAAACAATTTTTCTTTTGCGCCCTAAAATTACAATAAGAAACGAAACTGCTTTGTATGACTTCATTTTGTTTGTACTACTGAAAATATTACTATTGAAAATTATAATTATTTTAAATGTCTTACTATAAATAACTAAAACTACTGCTACTGTAGTTACAAGTCTAATAAGTAAAAAAACCTGAGATAGTTAACTATAAAATTATACATTTTTTTGTCTGACTATAAATGACTTTTACTACTAAAAGTATTTTTTTATTTTACTATTTTTAAATTTACAGAAATAAGACTACTTTCTAAATTATAATTAGTAAAAATGTTTACTTTGAAATAGTGACTGAATTTTTGCTTTTTAATTAGTAAATTTTATCAATAAATTAGCAGACAAGACTGAATATTAGTAAAATTTACTAATTCGAAAAAAATAAACTACTAATTTGGAAAGAAAATACACTAACTAATTCAAATTAGTAAAAATTTTTACTACTTCAAATTTAGAGAGTAATTGAAAAAATTTGTTCTATAGATGTTAAAATTAAAAAAAAAAAAACTGTTTTGTCTGACCAAATTTTGTTTGTACTACTAAAAGAAAATTACATCAACTATTTTAAATGTCTTACTGAAAATGTCTACTACTACTACTACTAATACTAAAATTCCTAGTCTAAGTAAAAACGACTTGAGCTATATATTTAACTTATAGAATTATAAACTGCTTTGTCTGACTATAAATGACTTTTACTACTGAAAATAGTGAAAATACTTAGTTTTTCATTTTATTATTTTTAATTTAACAGATAATCAAAACAATTGGGGAAATTCGTTCTATATTCATGTCATTAAAGTTACAATAGAAATCAAAACTGTGTTGTCTGACTCAATTTCGTTTGTACTACTAATATGGAAAATTACAATAATTATATTAAATTTAAAAATTTTACATTAAAAATTATAAAATTCCCGAAAAAATACTAATTAGACTTTTTATTGAATTGAATTTTATTTAACAGAATTTTGCCTTAGACAATTTTAAATTGAAATATAGTAGGAATATTTTATTGGAAAACTATAGAGATATTCCATCGGAATATTAATGTTCACTATTTTTTCGATTTAAAATAAATTTAGAATTAATTTAAATAGAACAAAAATTGTTTAGTGTATCATAAATAATAATACTAATAATAATTAAAAATACTTTTACTAGATTCTAATGGAATATTCTTTGCTTTTCAGTTTTAATATTCCTACATTACTCTAAAATAACATTCCAATGTTTGGACATTTTAACATTCGAAAAATGTTGATGCAATATTTTAAAGGAATATTCACAGTGTCCCAAAGAAATATTCCAAATATTCCTAATACATATTCTTAATATTCTGAAATTATATTCCTAATATTCTAAAGGAATGTTCCTAGTATTCCAAAGAAATATTTACAGTATTCTAAAAGAATATTTATAACATTTTAAATGAATATTTCTAATATTTCAAAGGAATATTCCTAATATTAATTCCTAATATAATATAAATTACAAAGTAATATTCCAAAGGAATTTTTCTATTCCTAATATTCCAAGGACATGTTCTTAATATTTCAAAGGAACATTCATAATATTTTAATAGAATATTCCTGATATTTATTAAAAGGAATATTCCTAGTATTCCAAAGACATATTCTTAGTATTGCAAAATGATATTCCTAATATTTTAAAGGAATGTTCCTAGTATTCCAAATAAATATTTATAATATTTCAAATGAATATTCCTAGTATTACAAAGCAATATTCCAAAGAAATTTTCTGTTCCTAGTATTCTAAGGACATATTCTTAATATTCCAAAGGAATATTCATAATATTTCAAAAGAATATTCCTGATATTTAAAAGGAATATTTCTAGTATTCCAAAGGAATATTTTTAGTATTCTAAAAGAATATTTATAACATTTCAAAATGAATATTTCTAATATTTTAAAGGAATATTCCTAGTATTATAAAGTAATATTCCAAAGAAATTTTCTATTCTCAGCATTCCAAGGACATGTTCTTAATATTTCAAAGGAACATTCATAATATTTTAATAGAATATTCCTGATATTTATTAAAAGGAATATTCCTAGTATTCCAAAGACATATTCTTAGTATTGCAAAATGATATTCCTAATATTTTAAAGGAATGTTCCTAGTATTCCAAATAAATATTTATAATATTTCAAATGAATATTCCTAGTATTACAAAGCAATATTCCAAAGAAATTTTCTGTTCCTAGTATTCTAAGGACATATTCTTAATATTCCAAAGGAATATTCATAATATTTCAAAAGAATATTCCTGATATTTAAAAGGAATATTTCTAGTATTCCAAAGGAATATTTTTAGTATTCTAAAAGAATATTTATAACATTTCAAAATGAATATTTCTAATATTTTAAAGGAATATTCCTAGTATTATAAAGTAATATTCCAAAGAAATTTTCTATTCTCAGCATTCCAAGGACATGTTCTTAATATTTCAAAGGAACATTCATAATATTTTAATAGAATATTCCTGATATTTATTAAAAGGAATATTCCTAGTAATCCAAAGGACTATTGTTATAGTATTCCAAAGAAATATTGTTAGTGTTACAAAGAAATATTGTTAGTATTCCAAAAAAATATTTTTAGTATTTTAAATTAAAGGAATATTCATAATATTCCAAAAGATTGTTCCTAATATTTCAAAGGAATATTCCTTAAGCTTGAAAGGAATATTCCTAGTACTCTAAAGATATATTTTTAGTATTCGAAAGGAATATTACAGTAATATTTCAAACAAATATTACTAAATATTCCACTGGAATATTCCTGAAATTTCAAAGAAATACTCGTAATGTGTCAATGGAATATTCTAAATGTTCCAAATTAGAGAGGGCGACGTAAGGGAGATATTCCATTATCCGAAATACTCCAGGAATGTGAATAAAATATTCCCTGCTATACGCAATTTGAAGATAAACGTTGCAATCATTCAGAGTCCTCATTTAAGCTGCAAAGACATATTATTTGTTTCTGCAGTGTTGATGTCGATTATTATGAATTACTTGACACATTTGGACAATCGATGGGCAGTAATATTGGTTAAATCGGATGATCGCCTCGAGTGAAAATAATTAAAGAAAAAAAAATTATCTTTGCCCTTCGCCCTCTCTCTCTCTCTGATCGCGAGACCGTGCTTGCCTTCATAATTCTTGGCTATAATTGAGAGCTCAACTTGGAGGAAACCTCGTGTGCTTGCACGTGGGTACTTGCAGACATAGCTATATGCCGAGACACGGTGATATGTGAGCCTGCTATTAATGCGCCCTGCGGATTAATTATTATTACTTGCCTGGTTTGTTTCAATTTGTAGCGAACCTTTGATCACGCCGAATCGTGTTCCTATTGCTTTAACATGAATGTCGGATTTAAATTAATTCTACCAACGCTTTCAATAATAGAATGTGTACATTTCTCTCTCTCTCTCGCTCCCTCACTCTTTTTGTCGCTCTCTTTATCTCTCTTGCTCTTCTTCTCTCTTCCTTTTTTTTTGCGCTCTCTCTCTCTCTCTTTTTTTCTCTCTCTCGCTCTTTTTCTCTCTTTCTCCCTCTTCGTCGCTCTCTCTTTCTTTCTCTCTCACTCTTTTTTACTCTGTCGGTCAAAAGCTATGAAAATAAAATTCTATTATTAAGAAAACATAGTAGAATTATTTTTATTTTCTTCTTTACTCTGATAAAACTCTGCCAATCGAAACTAATGAAAAAAAAAATAGAAAAAAAACTACCATTCCGAAGAATCGAACCCTGGTCCTTGTTAATAGAAATCCAATACGAAAGCCGCTTAGCTATCTCACTTTTGCTGCTTAATTGAATTTGAAAATTTTTTTTTCTGAGCGATTACCTGCAGACTTTAAAATTTAAAATTAAATAAAATACATAGACCAATTTTTTAATTCTAATTTAAATTGTAAATAAAATTCATGGAATTAAAATTGAGAATTGAATAAAGTTTATAGAATTGAAATTGAAAATTAAATAGAATTCGTAGAATTAGAATTGAAAATTAAAAAAATGTCATGGAAATTAAAATTGAAAATTGAATAAACTTCGTAGAATTAAGATTGAAAGTTATATAAAATACATTAACTAATAATAATTAAAATTCAAGTGTTTTTTATTTACTTATAAATTTATAAAATTAAAATTGAAAATTAAATAAAATTCTTTAAATTAATGCTGATATTTAAATCAAATTTAAAGAATTATCCTTCTCCCCATCCGAAAATGTGAGAATTGAATAAAATTCATAGAATGAAAATTGAAAATTAAATAAAATACATAGAATTGTAATTAAAAGTGAAATAATTTTTATTTATTTATAAATTTATAAAAATATATTAAATTAAATAAGTTTGAATGAATGCTGAAAATAAAATAAAATCCAT